GGTTCCCACAGCCCCACCAGGGCTTTTGGGGAGTGAAGAAGTCGCTGTGAGCAGGGCTGGGAGCTGGGCCAGCTCCCTGCTCCGTCACACACTCCCCTGTACCAGTGAGAGCAAAGGTGGCTGCATCTCCCGATTTCCAGTTTGTTCTTCCCCATTTTGAATTCCTTCCTCACCTTCAGCATGCCCTGGCTGCTGCTGCTGTTGTTGTTGTGTGTGTGTGTCAGCCAGGGGAGCTCCGTGGGCTCTGCCCTGGGTGTCTGAGCACGTCCCTGTCCCGCTGCCTGCTGGCCGGCAGCGCGGGCACCGAGGGCTGGTCCACCCTGTTCCCAGGAGGAATGCATCTGCTGGAATCCCTGCACTGTGGGGCTGCTTCCCACCTCCCTGCAACTCCATTAGTTAGGGTGTGTGTCCTACTTCAGCTGTAGTCCCTGTGTAGAGACCTCCTGGTGTAGGAGCCAGTGAGAAGCTGTGGCTGGCCACTGCGTTTCTGGTTCCTAGAAGCTGTAGTGGTGCAGAGTTCCTGTGAGGGAGCCCAAAACAAGGAATGCTGCACCAGGAGTGCCAGGAGCACTGCACCAGGAGTGAGTGAGCTGGCTCATGGCACTGCTGCCTTGTCGATGGAGCTGATGGAAAACAAAGCCACTGGGTATGACAGATATTCCTGATGGAAGAGAAGGGAGCCCCTGACCAGGAAGGTTGATAAGCTGTCTCTGCTCCACTCCTGTTTCTCTTGGGAAATGCACTCTGGAGCAGCAGGAGCACAATAAGCTCAGTTTGCCTGTGTATCTGCGCAGCTTCTGCCCACCACAGCTTGTATTTTATCTTCATTAGTGGCCTGGGATGCTGTATTGGCTCTAAATCCAATTGCACTTAATTATCCCAAGCATGTACAGCAGTGTAAAGAGTGCCCCCAGCTAAGCACCCTGTATAAAGGTGTACAGTTTGAATTTTGGACCTTTCTTTTTCTTTTTTTTTATCCCAAGAATCTCGTGTGAGCATCGGCAAGGCTGGCCAAGGCCGAACGGGCAGGTTAACCCTCTGGTTCACATTTCTGTTGCAGGCTGCTAAAATATCCTTCTTCAGAAACAGAATGTATCTGAAAATAAACTGATTCCTCCCCAGGATGACACTGCATTGGTGGTTTTTATTGGAAACCCAACTGGCACTGGGTGTTTGGGGTTGCAGTGTGATTCAACTGCTGGTTGTGATGGGCACAGCTGGAGTCAGGGCTGTGAGTACAGACTGTCTCCATTCCTGGCCTTGCCCTCTCCAGCAGCTCATGATCAGGTATGGCAGCACCAAAATTTCCCTCCCTTGCCAGGACAGGCTCTCTGCGTTTGTCTCAGGGCTGGGCTGAGGTCTCATGGTCACCTTTTCCAGCTGCCAGATTCCTTTGACTTGCAGGAACTCTTCCCATGATACCTGAAGCATCAACAGGAGCTGTAAAGGGGCTGAGTGTTTCATTCAGCCTTGCAGGTTTCCTTTGAGGAAACACCCAGTGGAACAACCACAGCAGTTCCTTATGGTCCCTCTTGACCAGAACACCTTGGTGTGTGCTGCCCCCAAAGCCAGCGTGGGCTTGTGCCCACCTTGGGCTGCCCAGAGCCCATGGGGGAAGCTGGAGCATCTCCCAAGCCTTTGGTGAGCCCTGGCCAAGGCCTGGACACAGCAGGGCCTTTGTTGTGCTGGATGCTGCCCTGGGGCTGTTGCTGCACGAGAGATCCCTGCTTTGCCAGGTGGGTCAGGGTGCTCAGCTGGGGAGGGAGCAGAAGGGGCTGGCACTGGGTTTCATGGGACCTGTGAGTGGTGGGTGTGTGTCCCAAAGCCTCCAGGAGCAGGGGGTTGGTTCCCAAAAGCAGTTCAGAGCCTGAGTGTTGCTACCCTGGAATGAGAACAAAATCCCCCCCCCCAGCAGCCCTGAAACCTCATTAGCACAAGGCTCCATGAAGTGAGCACTGCACGTGCTGCAGGAATGATTCCCCGGGGGCAGAAATAAACAGACATTAAAAACAAAACTAAATCAACTGCCACCAGTTCAAACAGTTTGAGATTTCAGTGCTCCTGTTCTCCTGATGGCAGGTACAGGTGAGGGGCATCAGGGGCAAGGGGTGGGGTCACAGCCAAAGGCAGGAGAAGTTCCAGAGCCTGGGAACAAGGGGCAGGAGGAGCCCCAGGTGTGGGTCTGGGGGAGCTGCACCTATCTCAGTCCTCACTATTTTATTTCAGCTGATAAAAATAAACCCAAGCAGGGCCCTGGCAGGGGGTTATTCCTTCAGCTGACTGAGGAAAGGCAAGAGAACAGCAAGAGGACAGCTTTGGGCTTGGTGCTGGCGGGAAGCGGATGCTCTGGGAGTGCATTAACCCCAGCGCCAGCAGTGGGAGGGCAGGGGGTGCCAGGGGTGTTATTTACTCATTAAGGAAGCAAAATGAGATGAACAGGATCTGCCTGGGATTAACTGAGCCCAAAAGCTCCCCCAGCTTCCCTCCCTCATTCCTGAGAGCAGAGCCATGCACATCCTTGGGCTTTTCCCTGGAGTGCTCCATGGTGCTTTACCTGCTTTGAAAGGATTGGATTCAATTCCCAACTGGATACTGATTCCTGTTCCTGGTTTGGGCTGGTTCTTTGCTGGCATCAGTGCAGAGTCAGGCCCTGGGATGAAGAACAGCTGTGCCCAATATCCCAGTTTGGGGCATGGCCTGAGTGTTTCTGGGGGGAGGCATGATGTAGGGGAAAACTACAGGTTGCATCCCATATCCTGATGCCCACTCAGGACATTTTGGGTGCACAGACCCCACCAGCCTGGGGCTGTCCAAACCCAACCTACCCCTCCATGTGTAGGAAAATGGGAATATTACAGCTCATTCTGCTAGGAGAGCAAAGAAGGGCTGACTGTGGCACACAGTGCCCTGGACAGTGGGCAGGAATTGTTGTAATTTAATATATTAATGCAAAACTTCACCTCCTGTGCCCCCAGGACAGGGAAGGCAGGTGAACATTGACACAGCAGCTGGATGCTCCCCATCCCACACAGCACCAAGGGCTCTCAGCTTCAGCAGAAGGAAAAAGGTGATTTCTAAGGGAGCTGGGGAAGGGGCAGCACTGGCTGCTTTGTATTCTGCTACCGAAAGGACAAAGGAAATGAGTTTTCTTTAAAAGCTTTAAAAGGACAGGAAATATCCTGCTTATCTCAGGCCTGTCCTCAGCTTACCCCTGGGATGGGAGCTGGGTTTGGCTTCAGGGGCTTAACCCAGCTGGAGCAGGGTGAGGATGGAGCTGGGGATGAGGGTGGAGATTGTGATGAAGATTAGGGTGAGGATGGGGCCAGGGATGGGGATGGGGATGAAAATGAGGAGAAGGGTGGGATCAGGAATGGGGTTTGGGGTAAGAATGGTGCCGGGGATTGGGCTGAGCTCACCTGCCCAGCGATGCTGGCACAGGGACAGAGCACACCCCAGCCCACGAGTGGAACATCCACAGCAGTTCAGGTTTCCCAGGGCTGTTCTGGTCCCACCCCAGCACTCAGAGCCATCCTGGCACAGCAAACAGCCTTTATCTGCCCCACATCCCAGCCTGTTTGCACTGGAAGCTTGTTTTATCACACAACCACTTTAAACTCTGCCCCTTTTGGGAGCCCTCTAGGTGAAAAGTCAGTAAAACACAAAGGTGGTGGTACTCTTTTGTCTTCTTTTTCTAAAAGGTGGAGCAGGACCATGGCAAAGTCCTCTTGACACCCCCAACCAAACAGGGGGGACCCCCATTTCCAAGAGACTCCAGCCCAGCCTGCTGGAAATGTTGGAGCCAATTCAGGTCAATTAAAGTTGAGGTTTTTCTTGAATTTAAAGTGTGAAAGTAATTCAGCCAGCCCAGTATTTGGGCTGTTATTTTTTTTTAATGTTAAATCAATTTTTGTCACCCCACTCATAAAAGTGATTTAGAAGGTGGTAGGGATTCCTGGGCTGGAGGAGACCTGGGAGATGGTTCTGGAGCTTGGAAAGGACATGGACACGTTCCTCACACCTGGGAGTGCCGGCAGCAGTTTGAATGTGAGGAGTAAAAGCGGTTCTGGCAGCAGCAGCCAGGTAAAATCCAGGAAAATAGCTGGAAAGGATTCCTCGTGGGATGCAGTGCCTTGGCTGGGGAGCCCAGGTTGTCTCCAGGACTGTCCAAGCCTGGAAGGAGGTGGTTTTTGAGCTCCAAGTGGGATCAAACCCCTGAATTTGCTCTGGTCAGCACAAAAACTCACCCTGGCAGAGTCCACTGGGTACAAAACCATTCACTGACACAGGGCAGTGTCCCACCAGCCCAGGGATCAGCAGGGCCAGGGCAGAGCAGGAGCCCAGCGGGGCCTGGACCTTCTCCCCATTTTTAATGCCTCTGCAAGATTTTCCTTCCAAAAGCTCCCGGCTGTGGCTGGCTGTGCAAGCCGAGTATTTTTAGCAAGTATTCATGCGAAACAGCTCAGGATAATAATTTGCAATGTAAAGTTAGAGGCTTCCACAAAAACTCAGAGTAAGCAGATTTGGGTCAGCAGGACTTTGTGCTGATTGTGCTGAAAGGAACCATCCAGCCAGGTCCGGGGGAGCCACACGGGGCTGGAGCTGGGTATTGAGTTTTCTGGGTAATAAACCCTCACTGTGCCCACAGGACCAAAACCTGAAATCCTTCCATGGGCTGTGACTCTGCAAAGTCACAGATAAATAATGTCACATGCAAATAGCCACATCCAGCATGACAGTCACCCGAGTAGCCACTGCCTTTCTGGACTCACATTTCCCCCCATCTCTTTTTGCCATCACTGATCCTTGAGCAGGAGGGAAAAGCTTTGAGAAAACAGAGTTAATAAATCCAGCTCCTCAGCCAGGGGGAGCAGAGAATGTGAAGGGTTTAACACCACGTGCCCAGGGGCTGCAAAGCTCTGTGTGGGTGGGAGTTTTAGTGCTCTGAGGAAGCCACAGCATCCAGCCCAGGTTACCTGCACCAGAATAACGAGGGAAAGAAGTGTCTCACATTTTAAATTGTTTTAATAAAGAACCGAAGCATCTCTATAGACTGAGCACCACATCCTTCATTTTCAGGATGACACCATCTCATTTTCTCACACCTCTGTGGCCCAGAGGAAAACCCTCCATGATTTTCCTGCTTCCTCAGGCTGAGGGAAACTTCTGTCCGAAGCAAACAACCGGAGTAAATTGAGGATGAAGTGTCCCAGCCCCAGAAGGGATTTTTGTCAAGGCTGGGTCAGCACCTACCAGCTGATGATTTCCACTTCTGTCCAGCTCCTCACAGGGGGGGCAGCAAATGCCACTTACTTTAGTATAAAATGGGGTTTATGTGTTTAGACTTTGTCATAAAGGGTTATAATTAAAACTTCACTTTCAAATGGACTTCTCTTAAGCTGTGAGTCCATAAAATATGTGATCAATTGCGATGTGAGGCCTCAAGGGCTGCTGCAAGCTTGGTACAAAACTCACTTTTAATAGAGATTTGGTAGCAGAATTAGAACTGCAGCAACTGAGAAAAAAACCCCAATACCACATGGTGCTGTTCTCAAAATGGCTTTTTCCAGCCATTCTGCTTTTACCAGCTGTTATGGGCTAAAAAAAGTCCTACATAATCATAAATGTTAATAAATACAGTACAAGTATGGGCTTTTTTCCTCCATTTTGCTGCCATCCTTTGGGGTGCATTTTCTTTAAGCTCTTTTCTGTACCACAAATACAAGTTGGGTTTTTTTGTTTGTTTGGTTTGGTTTTGGTGGGTTTTTCCTTTTCCCTTTCCCTTGTGTGAAGAAACACCTCTGCAATCCCTAAGATTCTTGCTTTGGGACTTAATTTTGTCCTCACACCAACACCAAACAACTCCTAGAGCTATTAAAAAATAAGTGTTCAACCCACTTAATAATTATTTTTGCTGTGTTTTGAACACACAAAACATTAGGGCACCATGCAGCCTTGTCACTGTATGCATTTGAAATGTACACTCAGGGGTATTTTCAGGCAGCAGAAGCACTTTTAACATTTTCATGAGGAAAAAGTCAAAACCAGGGAATGGCACAGCTCATCAGCACCAGCTCCTGATCAATGGGTTTGTTCTGCCTTCCCTCAGGACCAAGGTGTAAACCCTGGGCTCATCCCAGGCCACAACACAGAGGTCAAAACCCTCTGGAAGAGAGAGCTCCTTTTACCTGGGCTCACTTCCCAGGTGTGTGACTCTGCCTCTGCCGGGTGGAACGACACGGACTGACGACGTGAGCAGCTCCAATTGCAAATAAAAAAAATCTTTATTGCATCTTAGAAGCAAGTCTTAAAAAAAAAAAAAAAAAGAAAGAAAGAAAGAAAGGGAAAAAAAAAGAGAGGAAAAGAAAAATTTTCCATGCACCTACATCCTTGGGACTGTCACCAGAAAATGATGAACATTGTAAGACACAGACTATGCTAGTTGCAGTTCATACTCCATACACGTGTAAACAATGGTTATTTCTTCTACTGGAATAGCAATTGCACTGTAAGATCCCTTCAAACGTGGCAACAACCACCAAAGCCTTGGGTTTTCTCCATTCCTTCACTTGCCTCCACTTCCCAAAGAGCAGGCAAAGTGGAACTGAGGGCAATGGGATGAAATGGGGCTGGAGGATACGATAGAAAAATATATTGTTTGCTGGTTTTTATTTTCTGTTTCTGCTGAGCAGGATATTTACAGGTACATAGGTCCCAAGAGATCATCTGCTTCAATGACAATGTCCAGTCACTAAGTCTCAGTGTACAGGGTTCCCTAGCTGGCTTTAAGGCACTTTATTTCGTGTATTTTCTCTTACCTTGCTAGATGTTAACTCATAGGGATCACACTTTCCTTGTATTCAGCCTCCTCATCCCCAGTTCCTCTTAGAATACCAAAAAAATTCCTAAACTCACGGAAGTCATTCCAAAAATGTTGAAGAAATTTGGGGGAGAAAAAAAAAAAAAAAACCATGAAAAAATATTTTAGAAAGTAATCTTTGGAGATCATTTACTGTAAGTATGATGTACACTACCTTATCAGTGAGAAGATGCAATACATTCCTAATATATATATATATATATTTACACACGCATATATATATATATAAAATATTAAAATGACTAACAGATATTCAAGGAAAGGTCAAGAACCTAAAACAATGGATATTAAATAAATTAACGGTCTAGCAGATACAGAAAAAAAAAAAAATCCCAAAACAAAACTAGCAATCCAATGCAATAATTGTTCCCATTAACTCCAGGTGACCGAAGGAAACGGACGCGATCGGGGACGCTCGAGCAGAGGAGCTCTCAGGTTCTCCTCAGGGATTTTGGATTTTCACTGTGTGCTGTCCTTTGTCCTTTCCCATCCCCAGCCCTTGCCCTGCTCCTCAGCATCCCCTGGCGCCCGGCCCAGCCTGTTCTGTTCTGTTCTGTTCTGTGAGCACAGAGCCCAGAGCCCACCACCCCAAACACAACAATTCCCAGCAGGACCGACCGGATCACGGCTTGTGCTCACTTCCTTCCCTCGCCTGCCCATCACAAGTGGAGGTGCGTTTTTAAACTGAAATAATCAGCTCTTAGGGAAAAACATAAAACCCCTCCTGCGATTCACCACCCTTGCTCATCGCCACAGCGACTCGGATTTTCTAACGCAATTTGAGAATTAATGGCTAATCCTGAACCGAAGGAGCAGAATCTTTGCACGGTAGCAGTCACACCAAAAACATTTAGACACAGCGTTTTGTCACTTGGCTTTGCACGCTCAGGTCCACATTTACAGAATCCCAGCCGTGAAGACGGCAACGGAAACGGCAGGAAACAATCTTTTGTTCATAAGGAAATTCTAATTCAAGTCAGATTTCCGCTGATCAGATAACTCTTAAACAACTTTTTTTCTTTTTTTTTTGTTTTGTTTGAAGGCAAATATTGATCACAGTTTTGTTCAAAACCAAAAACACAACAACAAAAAAACCCAAGGGCCTTGTTCTTCTCAAAACGAGCGCTTTGTAAGAAAACAACGATGATTTCTAAAATATATCCTGTGTGGTCTTTTAAAAGTGAATTATCAAAAAACATTTTCCCAAAAATAAATTAGATAATTAAAAAAAAAGTCTTTTCCAGCATAGCTGGACATTAGGCTGTCCTCACTGAGCCATTAGTATTGCTGCTTTTCCCAAAATTTGGGTCGTTTTTTTCAAACCATATTTCAGCCAGCTGTTGTGTGGACCCATACGTTGAAGCTTTGGACCCCAAGCACATTTTATATTGTTTTGGATCAAGATTAGGGTCACAAAAAACAGGGTGATGCACATGGACTACTCCAATTTCTTGGCTTCTGAAAGTTTTTAAGCCAGCTTGAATGACTTTGTTAAATAGATCTACGTCTTCAAGGCCCCAACCTTGGATGGAGACATCGAAGCCACCTGCTCGAAGAAGGTCAGCTTTGTAAATACAGGTGATACCAAAGCCATAGTTCCTCCAGAAACCTGTTTTCTGAGTGAAGGCAAAATGATTGTCACTAGGAACCTTTCCACTATAAACAATCTTTGGATCATACTGGCTAAAAATGATGGGAAAATACACTTGCTGACCCAAAACTGTGTTGGCTCTACACCGCTGGAGGAATTCTGTGGTAAACACTAAGTCAACATCACAGAAGAAAAGTAAAGACTCGTTCTGGAACTGAGAAGATCCGACTTCCAGAGCCAGCGCCCTCGAGAACTCCCCCGACACCGGCAGAACCTGCATGTCAGCCTTGGGGTACTTGGAGCGGTAATCTCTCATCAGCTCGATCTGCTTCGCCTTGTCAGGGTTGGAGTTGGAGTTGAAGAGCAGGACCACCAGCTTGACATTCTGGTTTGGAATGAGGCACGTCTTTTCAAAATTCCCCATGAACCTCGCAAACATGTCGAACCGCCCGGACAGAGGGATCAGGATGTTGATCTTCTTGTCTTTGAGCTCCTTCCTTTCTGCTTTGGACCTGCTGAGCTGGAAGGGGACAAACATCTTCAGTGAGTTGGAGAGGAAGGACAAGGAGCCAGAATCCTGGTTGATTTTGCTGGCCAGCTCTTTGGCGTCCATCTCTTCGTGCTCCATGAACTGGATCTTGCTGAAGGTCTGCTGCAGGTACGCGTGCCTCCTCACGGGGACCGTCATCTTCTTCCCCTTGTGCTTCTTGTAGAGCAGCAGCAGGTCCAGCACGTACTCTGCCCCGTACATGGGGTTCACCCTGCGGTATCCGTACTGGATCTCCTTGAAGTCAATGATCCTGCCCCGCGTCTTGGCGTTGGCGTTGATCATTTCCATCACCTGCATCACGATGTCATCCAACGCCTCGCGCTGCGACGAGTCCATGCCCCGGCGGGGCGGCTGCCCGTCGGCGCCCGAGTACAGGTACTTCCCCGTCAGGAACTCCCACTCCAGGATCTCCTCGCGGTGCCGGGGCTGGAAGCGCATGAAGGAGGGCGGCATGCCCAGCTGCAGGTCCTCCTTGTGGATCTCGGTGTTGCTGTACTTGCTCATGAGCACGATCTCGCGGTGCAGCTGCACGGTGCGGTGCCGCAGCTCGGCGATCTTGCGGCTCAGCATGTAGCTGTGCAGCCGGTACTGGTACGGGGGGTTCTTGTTGGGGTGCAGCGTTATGGCTCGGTGGATCTTGCTGTTCCTCAGGTCACGGATGTAGCCTTTCTTGTTCTTCTCGTAATTCTCGTAGAACAGCTGCTGCATCTAGCGGGGAGAGAGAGAGAGGAGAAGTCAGAGCCTGGCAGAGCTGACCCTGTGAAAGTTTGCCCACGCTACCCCGCTGGGAGAGAACTCCCCCTCGCTCACAGGGCCAGAAGGCTTTCTGAATAAGCTCTGCTTGGGTTTAGGCACAGGTTGTAGCAATACCAGCTGCTATTCAAGGAAATTAAGAGGATTATTCATTGTGAACTGGTGAAAGAAACATCTATCATGGATTTGGGATTACTGCAGCCCATTCTAGAGGAATCACCGGCGGCCAAACAATTCTGCACTAAGTCCATTGTAAGCTCATTTCTTCACAACAACACACCATCACCAGGAAAATAACACCGTGAAGTGTTCACTGCAAAACTCTCATTATTCGTTTGTTTCCCATTGTTTTCATATAAATAATAAAGAAGATTAAAAAGGGATGCCATGTACATGCTAAGCAAATCTGACAACACCTTTTCCATTACACCCAAATGCCATTTAAGCATTAAAAATCCAGGTTTAGGCATTAAAAATGCAGGTTGCTGAATGTTTTAGTCAAGATGCCAAATATCCTACCTCGAGTGCTGCAATGCAAAGCTACAGGTGTCATTTTAAAATGTCAATGGACAGTAAGGTGCACCTGAGATTCCTAGAATTCCAGAGTCAGGTAATACAGAGTGCACACATACACCATAATAAAAACATCCTTAACGTGGCATTTGCTATTTCAAAACAGGAAGATAATGAGCTGAGATTAGATTCACAGCTTTCAGGAAAGCAGACCAACCAGCTTTACAGTCCTCAGCAGCTCAGGCAGTAGCTGATACCGTGAAAGGCAAACCAGGACGACAATGTGGAAAATAAACTGAAAATAAAACCTTGAGACCAAAGGTATATGCTAGCTTAGATAATGGAAATTTAAAAAGACCACGGGCAGATTGTGTGTCACAGCACAAATGTCATCAACCTGCCAGAGCTGACACAGCACGCTCATTCAATATGGGATCCAATCTCTGTTACTGGCAGTGGAATCTGCCACAGGAAACACGGCAATAAAGCTTGTGTAAAAGGTCAGCAAAGAGCCAAACTCAAAAAAAGAACCAGGGAGAAGGTCTCAAATATGATGGCAATCAAACAGAGCACTAGAAAGGAAATCACCAGCACAGAAACCTTGCTTTTACCAGCTGCTCAGAGCCAGCACAAGTCCTGTTTTATTAGGCCTTCGGTTGCATTTCTCCCATTATTGTGGACAGACACTGAAGCTCAGGGATAAACTTACACCTGGATTTAATTGCTCTATCTCAACAAGCTGGCTGTGTGCATGCTGAAACCTGACATTGGGCGGATCGCCGCCGACAGCGCGGAGCAGGCTGAGCCCACTGGGAGCAGGGACTGAATGTGAGCAAACGTAAATCACTGCAAAGGAGCGAGGGAGGGAGGGATTGCAGCAGGACTGGCAAAGAAAGGACGCTTCTTTCGTGGGTCACCAGCAGGCCCGCACCCCCTTCTCCTCCAAGTTCACCTTCCCCCCGCTCTCCCCAAGTGATCCTGCTGCGTGCACGCCGTCTGGGAGCAATCCAGGCCAGAGATGGATGGATGTGCACAGGACGCAGCCAAAGGAGAACATCTTGGCCACGGCCCCCTGGCAGCCTCAGATGAGCTGCCTGTCGAGATGGATAATGTCCCTTTGGAAGGCGTGCAGGATTGAACAGAGCGCTACGGGCAGAGGTTAGCGGGGCTTATCCCACGTCCAGCACAGTTATCCAAACTGAATGAACCTCATGCTCTCCCAAGAAACACGGTTTTTCCACTCACCCTAAAGACTGTTCTTCATTTGTATCCCTGTATCCTTTCCTCTACTAATAAAGCTTAATTTTTTTGGTCACTTTGAACCTGGCTGTGGCTGTGAAGGGCTCTAGGAGACCTTAAATCACACCCACCTGGGGTCAGTCCTGTGAGCACCATTTATTGCAGTGGAGAGCTCTCATGGGAATAACAGCCTCTGTTCAACACTGCAGGACCCACTTATTCTACTGACAACACTGATCCATCCTCTAACACTAGGCACATGTAAAACTACAAGTATTAAATGCATATGGTAACCAATTTCACTGACATTTTAACACCAACTATAGGCAGAGGCTTTTCCAGGAGTCCTGTGACATCTGATAAAAATTCTTAAATCACATAATTAGGCTGCCATTATTTAAAAGAAAATTGACAATAGGATTTAATTTCAAGTCTTGTTTTGAATTTATAAGACAACAAAATCAAGACCATGCAGCCTGAATGCATTTACTCCAAAATTGCTACCTAGGGCATTCTGAAGAGGAAACCATGACAAGCAGAAAGGCTTTCAGATTACACAACAAAGTTTTTTTAATAGAATACTGATGGGTAGGAAAATGTTATGAAACATCCCAGTGGAAGTAAAGATAGGAACCCCTAGCAAATGGCACAAATTAAAATTAAGAAGCACATTTTAAAGCTCTGGTTTGCCACTCAGGAGTAACGTCTTAGGTAGACTGGTTACCTTCTAATACTCCTTCCTGCCCCTTCCCAAAACTAACTTACTTTGAAAACTGAAAATAAAACACATCTCAGCAAGCCTTTAGTGGGGCTCCAACACAAAGCAATTTACAACTGAAACATCAATTAACGTGCACCTTGCTCCAGCCAAGAGGTGACAACTGCCCGAGCCCTGCTCCGGCCAACCCTGCCGTGCAGCTAATGAGGAGCACCACAGCAGCCAGGCTTTTATATAATCCCATTTTTCAGGAGAATGCCTTGCAAGGCTGGCTCGTTCCACGCTTTCCCTGTGAAGTCTCCCCCTGTCCTGCTGCAGTGTCCCCCTGTCCCTGGCACCCAGCAGGCTGCAGCAGGCACGGGCTGTGCCAGGATCCCACAGCTCCAATCCCGGATGGGCAGCCAAGGTGCACCCCACACCAGCAGGAAACACAAACAAGGGTGCTGGAAGGGGTTAACAGCTCCCCACAGAGAGTACAAGGAGTTACAAACCATTTCCTCAGTGACACCAAGGCTGCACACAAAGCCCAAGTGGCCAGTGGCCAGCAGAGCAGTTTAACCCTTCTCAGACACTGCACCCAGGGCCACAGAAGGGCTGTGAGGCCCCAGGGCTGTACCCAGAAACCAGCCCCACGTGGATTCTGTTCACTCACCACACCTACACACTTGAAGGAAATGAGCAGCTCCCTCTGGGCCGTTTGACAGCTCCACCAACACTGATCTGCCCAAATCATTAAGGCTCCCCAGCACTGGGTTCAATCACAAGGGCAATGCCCACCTATCACCAATCATTGCTAATATCATTTATTACCATATTTGGGTCCAAACCATTGTGCTAAATATCACCAATTGGAACACACTGGCTTTTGACTCCACGCAACACTGGACAGTCATAAGGAAATTACAAAATCACAATTAACTCTTGTGTACATCACCAATAGGTGGGTGGAAGAGGGCCATAGAGAAGGGAATATCTGTGATTTATTTGCTCCTCCCAGTCACTAAACACACACATGGGGAGTGACACAAGCCCAGGACATGCACGTCTCCCACAGACATTACGTGCCAAATTCCCCACGCCTATTACCAGTCTTGAGAGCTGAACTCTTGCAAACTCTTCTTCTAGTGAAACACGTTTCTCTATGATTCTTTTTTTTTAAAAAGAACCTTTCATGGATATTAATTTTGCAATGATTATATTCTAAGCATGCTTTATTCTAGTGCAGAGCACTGAGAGCATAGGGATACAAAGAAGAGCTACTCTTTATTGACCACTATTTACTCTAGACCTGTTGAAGCCTTAAAAACCCTAATGTTCCCCAAACCATTAGAGACTGAATGTTTAAACTGTGGTACAGCTGTTGTGGGCACTGCTGGCTCATGTCCAAAAGACCAACTGAAAGGAGAGAGTGTTATGTTCTTCGTTTTAAATGAAGAAGTCTTTTGCAGGCCAAAAAAAAGTGTACTGGAGAAAATGGACTTTAAAAATAAGACCAGTTTATGCAGAAACTGGCCTGCAGCCACGGATCGGCCCCCGAGGGCTTTCTCTCACAGCTCCAGATTGTGCTACCAGAGCCCAGAAAACACAGCCCCACAAGCCTCAGGAACAGCAGCCATGGGTAAGACATGTTCTGTGGCCGGTTTCGAAATGCCCAAGGTGGGTTTCAATACAAAGCCCAGCTAATGAAAGCCAATGATGGTTAATGTCACCTCTGTGAGGAGGGGATGAGGGTGAGGGTCCCAGTGTGGAGCTGCAGGAGCAGGGCAGGTGCTGGGACAGCCCCACAGCCAAACCCAGGCAGGATGCCCAGCTCCATCTCCTCCTCACCAAGATGTGCCACAGCTGGTGCAAGGGGGCAGCTCCTGCTGAAATGAGATTAAAGTCCTTCTGCTACCACATCCCAAGGAACTGCACCAGCACCATTTTGCACTGATTAACCACAACACATCTCCAGTTTTCTGGTTTATACATCACCAATGTAGCTCAACTGATTATAAATTTTGCCAAGGGAAAGGAGCAGCAGGGTTTTGAGACTTCCCTCTGCTGGAGGGGAAGACTGTAGGGCCCTCCTGGATACAACTCTGTGCATTCAGGGTTCTTTCTGTTTAAATCCTGATGCTTTATATCCCACAGCTAAGCACTGACATGACTGAAGCCACTCCTCAGCCAGAGTTATTATGGTGGAGACAAACATGGGGAAGTAATGGATAAACACTCACTTCCAGTGAATTTGGCCACTCGTTCATGGCTTTAAGCTCCCCAGTTGCCACTACAGGAAAGGATGCAGGAAATGCCACTCGGTGCTGGGAGATCAGACTTTCCTCTCAGCTGGCAAGTGAAGCCCTGAGCTCTGGAGCACAATTAAATGATGTGATTCTTCAGACAAGTCACTTCTCACACAAACTTCATCATGTACTGCTGGTTCACGTTTGCTTTGTTTCATAAAGAGCGGCAAGAAAATCATCCTGAGCAGTGAGTACTCAAA